ATAGCGCTTCGGGTCCTTGATTTGGACTCATTTGGGCTCGGATTGAGTCGAATTTGGTGTCGTTGGGTTCGTATTTCCGAGACGCTCAGTTTGACTATAAGTTCGCTGAAATCGGAGATTAGGTGATCCCGAATTTAATTTTTTGAAGTTTCCCGCTTGATTTTGCCTCGAGATTCGTGCCCGATTAAGATAATTTTTTGATGATTTATCAATTCTAAAACCTAGATAGAGTTCCATGCAACCGTCAATCACCTTTGATACGTTATCACAAAATAATCTTGATTGGGCACGAATCTCAAGGCAAAACTTAGTTGGAAACTTCAAAAATTAATTTCGGGAGCATATGAACTCCGATTTCAGCGATCTTATAGCCAAATTGAGCGTCTCGGAAATACGAACCCAACGACACCAAGATCAACCCAATCCGAGCCCAAATGAGTCCGAATCAAGGGTTCAAAGCACCGTTGGAAGGTTCAAACAGCAATTTGAGTTACCAAACGGTCTCCGATTTTGACAAGCTTATACTCGAATCGAAGGGCTCGACGAGACGAATCCAACGAGCCCAAGATCATCAAATTCCGACATCATTAAGGCCATCAAATGTCCAACGAACGGTGCATGATCAAAGGATTCGATATCGGCCGTCCATTCAAACCACTCCCTGTTTGCCCTTGATCTCGCGCCTATTTACGGGCTATGCCACTCCAGAAAAACTATAAATAGAGCCCTCATTTTACACCAAGGGGACTGAAGTGAAGAGAGAGAGGAAGAAGAGAAGGAGAAGGAGAAAGGGGAATAGGAGATTCCTCACCTCCTCGACCACCGCCGCCGGAGTTTTTCCTGCCGTTTTAAGACGCCGGAACTCTGCCGGATTTTCAGGAAACTCAGGGAATTTGCAGGATTTTGTGAATTTCGTGGAAAAAACAAGTTGTATTTGGATTATCCCGACTTGTGGGAAGAAATCCGCCATTTGTAATCTACGAAAACACTAGTGGAAATTTGCAACTGGGCGAGGCCCCGTGGTTTTTCCCATTTTTGGGTTTTCCACGTAAAAACTCTTGGTGTTCATTCCTTTTTCCTGTTTGTGTGTTAAACTTACGTACAACGCTCAGACGCGAATTTACAAACTCTACCGCCGCGTATTTTCTAACACGCAACAACCTTCATCCTCCGTATTGCGTCCAATCTTCTTTATAAGCTCCATTTGTTCTAATCCACTATAGAAAAATAGTAATTTTTTAATGAAAAAATCATAGAAAAATTAGCATATCTGAACAGATAAATCTATTTATTTTAGATTTTTAAAGAGCTTTTGTCTGCTAAAAAATCACGTCGAAAATATTTACCAATGACTAAAAATCTACAGGAAAAAATTTTATCACAAATTTCCAGCAAATTGTCCTTCGTAAGATAATACATAAAAAATTAATTACAATTGCTATCTTGTAAGAAATTGTTAATTACCATCAATAAAAATGCTACTTATTGCACAATTCTCATTTATTATTCATTTAAAACCTCTCATTTTTAATATTCGCAATTAAATAGTTATTTGATACCATAGAAAAAATGACTGTGCAATAAATACATTGGGAATTCGTTGAGTCCTGATTTAATGATAATTAAGAGCGAAAGAGAAATAAAGTACACCAAATATGTAATACATGTTTACTCAATTAATGACTATATCTTATTTTCAGTCCTACATATTAAACTATAATGTATGATATATCACTAGTAGGGTTGCAAATGAATCGAGCGTTTGACGAGCTGCTCATGGCTCAGCTCAATGAGAGTTAGTTCATGTACGTTTAATAAGGTCAACAAATCGAGCTTGAACACTTTTGATAAATACTCAGTAGCTAAATAAACGAGTTTTGAACAATTTGGTGTTCGGTTAGTTTATGTTCAAGAATAATATCGTTTAAAGCTCACGAACAAGCATTTAAGAAGATTGATTAGAGCTCAACTAAGAAGCTCCATTAGATCTCGATTTGAGTTCTGAAAATAAGCTCGTGAACCAGATCCCGTTGTGTGCTCTCTGTTCTCGCTCTCCAGCTCGTGAACCTGGTCGGTCGAACCCGCTCTGCACTCTATGTTTCCACTCCCGCTCTCCAACTCACAAACATAGTCAATTAGACGATTGTGAACATGCACTCTCCACTCCAGCTCTCTAGTTCGCAAACCTAGCCAACCAATCCAGCTATGTGCTCTCATTTTTCGCCGCCGCTCTCCAACTTGCGAACCCGCTCAGTTAGATGATTGCGAACCCACTTGGTTAGATGCTTACGAACCCTATTCTGCTCTAGCTCTATGCTCTCCACTCCCGTTTAATCTCATACCGTGCAATGCAAGTTGGGAACTTGATTTTGCTCTATAAAATGAAAAATATTGGGAGTACATTAGAAAGCTGGGTGGGGCTAGTTTGTAGGCTCGAACTGAGCTCGAATAGGGGCTCGTTAAAATGCTTGACAAGATTAAAATGAATCGAACTTGAACATGAACACGAGCCGAGCTCAAACAAAAGATTTTTAAATAAGCTCGAGCTTGAACATGTTTCAAAAAAGTTTGAATCTTATTGAGCCGAGCTTGAACATAGCTTTGGCAAACAAGCTCGAATAAGCAGAAACTTGGCTCGACTCAGTTCGTTTGCAGCCCTAATGTCTAGAAATTTTATATAATCAAGCAAGAATATTGGTGCAAACTTCAAATATGAAATCTATAAAATTAATTTCAAGGTCATTTGAAGTCTAATTTAAACAAAATTATAAAATATTTAATGTAGATGAGATAAACCCAATGACATTAAAGTGATTCAATCCAACTCTAAATAAGCCCAATCAATTAAGCACTTGAAGCACACTCATAAAATTCATTACATTAATTAAATGATCAAATAATCTCCAAATAATTTATGTTTATATTCAAAATGAGTGTCTCAATGAGAGAAATTTGACGAGCATAAGATCATTGAATTATGAGATTATTAAAGCACTTAAATCATGAAAAATATTATAAGATCATGGAAATCAATAAGTGTTTTGAAAACTTTGATTAAAATTATCAAAATATCGCTTTAAATAAAACTATGAATAAACCTCATTATCTACATTAAATGGGGAATAGAGAGCCCATAAAACATAAACCTTAACCTAAAACTAGAGAGGGCGTGAAGATCTGAAGAACTCTAAAACTCCACTCAGTCTTCATCACTGACAATCATTGCCAATAATTATCATCATGAACTTCTATGTCCCAATCTCTATCATCGGATTAGAATCTTTTGTGTCATCATCCAACTATAATCTTCCAATTATCATCGCCAATTTATTATATCATGATAACCAATGCTTGATTATGGTATTCCGACTAATGTCATCCAAATAAAGTTACTTGATAGCTAGTATCCAATCTTCATCTCCTGATCATGTTGCTTGATCATCTTCATCTAACCATGACTGTCTAACCATCCACATCCAACCACTGCCACCTGACTGTTGTCTCCTATCTACCATTACCCTATTCAAATAATGTTTTAACCTTGTTTAAATATTGTTTGAGTCATACTCAAACCCCATTTGAACATGGCTTAAACTACATTAAAACCAATATTGTGGAGTAGATTTTGAAAATGGTTTTATAAATGGTAGATCAAATATAATGTGTTTCAGTCATTTTAATAGAGCATGCTATAAGAATGATATGGTAAAATACAAATACAATAACTATAATAAATATATTATAAGTTAGATATAACATAGTTCAAACTTGCCCCTATAATTCTATGAATAAAACCATATAACTAACACAACAAGAAAGAGAAAATGCATGAAAGATGAAAGAATATCAAGATTTAACATGAAAAAAATTTGAAATTGAGAAAAAAAAAACCTCGGATTCACACCACCCCAAAAAATTCAATTGTATATATTTGTTCTCTCTCTCTCTCTCTCTCTCTCTCTCTCTCTCTCTCTCTCTTCACTCCTTACATCGTTCTCTTGCATAATTAACAAAAGAGATACAATAACCACCCTAAGGGACACAACCCTTCAAGTAAGACATGAAAAACAAGAAAACAACTTGCTCAGCTCAACTAGCAACTTAAGGGTTTGTAGTCCCATAGCACTTTACTCTTTGTCTTCAACCTAATTGACAGCATTATAGTGTCAGGGTTTGGAGCATCGCGGTGCTCCTCTCTCTATCTCCTACTAGAGAATGCAGCGCTGCAACACTCGAGTATATAACACCGCAACGCTATACCATTGGCAAGGCCCCCCAAACTCCAGCAAGGATGCTCTCTTGCAACCCCCAGTGAGCTTGAACAATAAAATTGAAGTCATAGCAATCATACAACCTAATTGATTGACACAATCAGATTCCACATAGAAATAACATATAACACATAAAAAAGATAATCATTGCATAATTACACAAGCAATTATTTACATGACAAAATAATAATAAATATATGACGTTATAATTGCTCAAATCATATTTGAACGTGGTCCAAACATGTGTTCAAACATATTCAAACCATATTCTATCACAATTCTAACAAAATTTGAAGTTAATCCAAACACATATGCTAATAAGCTTTAAAACAACATTTTTTTATTTTCCTCCAACTCTACTTAGCGCTCCATTATTAAAATAATGTAATCTTTCATCTTATTCTATTTAGATAATTTTTATAAATTATTATATATAATATTATTTATTAGTAATCAACTTTTTTACAAAATTAATAGATTTTACTTGTATCACTATATAACACATCTTAAAAATTGACAAATTTCACCAAACGGGTTGAAATCTAAAATCTCAATTTCAACCCTGACGCCTGAGCCGCTCACCAAGTTCCACATATCCGTCCACATTCAGCTTTGTTGTGTACGGCGGATCTTAGTATCTTTCCTTCACCCGAAACTTCAATAGCAAGTTCGGAAAAAATATTCGGCCCTACATTACTCCCAAGGTTCTGCTCTGTGAGCCCTCCTGCCACGTGTACCTAGGGTTGTACTGCCGGTAAGCCCAAACCCTCGCCAGCAGCACGTACTGAGCTTATAAAACGACCCACCGCGCCTTCCCCTTCCTCCCACCGCCGTTCCAACGCCCGCCGTCTAAAACTTCGGTTCGATGGAACGCCGCTCGTCTATTTGCGTTTCTCTCCTATCCCTCCTCTCCTTCCTTCTCTTACCTGCGTCCGCTCGGTTGGATCCGGTCCTTCGGTTGCCGTCAGAAATCTCCGGCCGCCGCCTGGAAGCCGGCGGAGATGATTCCGTCGGGACGAGATGGGCTATCCTTATCGCAGGATCGTCCGGCTACGGAAATTACCGGCATCAGGTATTTCAGCTTCTGTCGCTTTCCTGTTTCTTTTGGGTTTGGCTAATCTGATTGATTGGATTTGTCTACTTACTCGTTTTGGTAATTTCTGCGTTAATCCGATCTAATTTATTTTTCACGAAACTTCATCGCGTGATTATGTATGAAGGAACTGTTTAGAACTGTTCCGGATGCTATTTGGACATTGGATCCCTTAGTATTTTGCTCTGAGTTTGGAGAATCCAAGTTTTGGATTTATACAGCGCATAGAAGATTAGCATAATTGTTTATTAAGGGGAAATAGTAAACTCGATTATTGATTGGTTTGAATTTGTCTTTATTAATCATTAGACATTTCTGTGAGGGTTCAGATTAAAATTAAAGATTTATTTGGTTGGATCGTTTTTCTCTCCTTTTGATTTTTTTGGGATTAATGGCGTGCGAAGATCATGAAAGCGATCTCTGATCTCAGTGCCAACTTTTTCTGGAAACAAGAATGGAATAAAGATTTGACAAAGCAAAAGGCCGTTGATGCGAAGTGAGCTGCGGTGGCGCTGATGATGCTGCCCAAACAAAATTATTATTATTAATTTATTATTATTATTATTATTATTATTATTATTTATTTTTATTATTTTTATCTTTTGGGATTACGTAATATGGTTTGAACTGTTGATGACTTTATTCGAGCTGATCACTCTTTTCTTCAATTGCAGTTTTTCAAACTTTAGGACTGGCAAATATTTCCGCCATTTGAAATTATATATGATAATTATTTAAATTTTAATTAAATTAAATTTAAAATTAATATATTCGAACTTATATGTATATACATATATGCTTTTAAATTTAATACTATTTATTAATATAGATAGGTATTAATTTTCAGTAATTATTAAAATATTCTAAAAAAATTGTGAGTCAGCTCAAATTTGAAACTGATCAATTTTGGCTGGAGCTGATTGAAATGTTTAATTTTAAATTTAATGTTTAATTTGAAATAACTTTTTATTTCTTTATAAAATTGCTATAGAGAAAATAATTTTTTAATTCAGTTGTAAAAGTAATTTTCTAGCACAAATTTTTTTTCGAATCAGCAAAAAAGTAATCAACAAGTATAAATTGTGGTTGTATTTTTGAAAAGTAAAACAGTAAAAAAATTATTCTAATGAAGATTTTCCTACTTGTTTGTTTTTGAACTGTAATAACAATTTTATTTGATCATTGTTTTTTAACTATTTTTAATAAATTTTTTTTTAGAAAACTGTTTTCTACGATAATTTTTAAAAAAATTACTTTTTTATAATAATTTTATAATCACATTTATAAAAAATTATCATTGTTCCAAAGGAATCCTAAATTTTTTCTTTTAGAAAACTGTTTTCTACGATAATTTTTAAAAAATTTACTTTTTTATAATAATTTTATAATCACATTTATAAAAAATTATCATTGTTCCAAAGGAATCCTAAGTCGACTCTTGAATTATAATTGAGATCACCACTACGGATGGTAAAGAATTAATTGCATGTAATGGTAAGTGACGTATTCTTCGTAGGCCCACACACGTTGCTTTCTATTTGTGTTCAACTAGCCGGTGACCCGAAGCCAGAATTGGAGTAACGGGCCACATGGGTGGGCTGCGCATCTTTTCTGCACTGGCTTATCCTTAGGAGGCCAAAGCAAAGCCGTGAAATTGCTTGTTTTTTCCTTTCACACTTTACTAGTGATACCTTTACTGTGTATATTGAACTATGAACTTGAATTGTATTTAATGCACAAAATTTTGATTTGAGTCAACTGGTCCAAACAATTTAGTGACTTGAAAGAAAAACGGGTCGGCTTGAGGTCAGTATGGGTCAGGCTTAAAAAATAACGATTTAATTATTTAAAATTTTTCAAGAAAATCATATTAAATTATATATATATTTTGTTTTATTTCTTATTATTTGTCTAAAATGAATAATTTTGTCAACAATATGTCATGATTTATAGGTTGGATTGGAACCCGAGTTGACATACCTAAGTTAAAAAATAATTAGATACTATTACTAACTTCAATCTCTTTTGCTTCGTTCTGAAGCAGTTGTGGTGGTTATGGGCTTTCTTTCTCACTTCTTTGCTTATGATATTGTCTTCAAAACCCATAGGGTCCTCTGTAATAGCTTTTTCAGACTTTTAATAGCTTTATTCGATAGAAAGATGAAGTATTTAAAGAGAAAAAATTTATGTTGGGAGCTCTTTATACAACTTGCATCAATACAAAATCATATCTAGATCTTCTGACATATAATTTTTTCTATACTTAAAGTATGTCACTAGCATTTTTTTTTTTTTCATTTTATATAGAGATAAGGACAAAAATAATCTCGTAATTCTTTACAAATGATCAAAATGGTTATCGGTTATTTAAAAATCATTTTAACTCTTTAACTTTTTAAATAAGGATTTAAATTATCTCACTAAAGAACTAAAGAACTAATTTGATCCCTACTTAAAGATTCAATTAACCAAATTGCTTTTTTTATATTATCGGAGACTATTTTAGTCATGTAGAAAAAAGTTAGTATACCGATTCGATTCTTTTCTCGTTTAAAATTTCACGTAATTTTCTAAAAGATTGAAATTATTTGTAAAATTAATAATTCCTATTTGTACTCTGTAAAATTATACCTAATCCAAAATGTTTCAAGATGAGCTTCAAAATTTTTTAGATTTTCTCTAAAAACAAGTACAATTCTAGATATCATATTCAGCACAATTATCATCAAATCATGATCTTTTTTCTCTATAACTCTGACACAAGAGAAGAATTCTGTAGTAGAATATATGGTGACGGTGCTGTGGTATTTATGCAGCAGTATTTCTAGCCTTTCAGGAATGCACCAACATTGTGATTTCAAGTCCTGCCACCATATACGCTTGAGAACAATGCTCTGTCTTACTCCCAAAGCAAAGTTTGATGCGCCTTTTCTTCTCACTTTGCTTATGATACCATTCTTGTTAATACCGTAAAAATTTTTGAAGGGTCCTCAACTTAAACTTTTTTCTGATTTATTCTTCTAGTAGTTCAGGTTAATACTAGTATTAGTTAGTGATGCAGCACATAAACTTTGTTCACTTGGTTAATGAACTCAACATCTTTCATATCTTTTACTGTGATATCTATTCAATGTTATATGTTTACGACAATAACTGGTGTAACGATTATGGCGAAACATGCATTTGATTGTGAGAAATTACTTGATAAGAAACATTTCAACAAAGACGGCAGGTTAAGACTTGGGAGACTGTTTGAAGTGGTTAATATAGATTTTTCTACTTTTTTTTATCTGATTAATACAATTTCTTCTCATCTTTTGTATATTGTGGTTTGCTTGCATCACCAATTTTCTACAAAATTAGTTTTTTTTTTTTTTTTTTTTTTTTTTTTTTTTTTTTTACGAAAAATGATAAATTGTATCTATTTCTTCAACTGCAATTGAGAGAATATCTATTTCTATCTAAGCTTTTTTTTTTTGCTTATACTCATTTAGGCTGATATATGTCATGCCTATCAAATCATGAAAAATGGTGGTTTGAAAGATGAAAATATCATCGTTTTCATGTATGATGATATTGCATACAATGAGGAAAATCCCAGGCAAGGAATTATAATTAATCGTCCTGATGGGGGTGATGTTTATGCTGGAGTTCCCAAGGTTTGATTTTTATGAGACTTGACAGTATCATGATTTTTTTTTTTTATAATTGATTTATATTTTCTAACATCTTTCTTAAATTTATCTGCAGGATTATGTAGGAGATAATGTTAATGTTGACAATTTTTTTGCTGTTCTCCTTGGAGATAAAAAATCTGTGTCCGGTGGTAGTGGGAAAGTTGTTGATAGTGGACCTGACGATCATATTTTTATATTTTATTCAGACCATGGTGGCCCAGGAGTTCTAGGTTAGTTTTAACTGAATTCGAGTCTATTAAAGTTTTCTATATTCCTACAAATTTCCAACATGATCAAGAAAGCAATTTTTACTTGATGCTCAATTTATGTTGTTCAATCATTAGGCATGCCTACATATCCTTATCTTTATGCGGATGATTTCATCTCTGTTCTGAAGAAAAAACATGCTTCCAATTCCTACAAAAAACTGGTAATGAATTGCTATTTATAAAAAATGGAGTTGTGCTAAGTAAGATTCTTATTTATAAGACAATGATGGCCTTAACTTTTTTATTTCAGGTCATCTATCTTGAGGCTTGCGAATCTGGGAGTATTTTTGAAGGTCTTCTCCCTGAAGATATAAGTATATATGCTACAACGGCATCTAATGCTGTGGAGAGTAGTTGGGGAACTTATTGTCCTGGAGAAAGTCCTAGTCCACCTTCAGAATACTGGACATGTTTGGGAGACCTCTATAGCATATCTTGGATGGAAGACAGGTGCATCCTCTTATCCATCTAAATGTAACTTGATAAACTTATTTCATGTCTTATTTTACATTCTTGATGTACTGATTTAACATAATAATTTTTCTTGGGTGGACAGCGATATTCATAATCTGAGAACTGAAACTTTAAAACAGCAGTACAAACAAGTAAGAGTCTCTCATTTTCTATCATCTTTAATATATACAACTTACTAGGTGAAGCTTATTATGTTCTACTTTTTAACATTGACAGGTCAAGACAAGGACATCTGTTGATGAGACGTATAATCAAGGTTCTCATGTCATGCAATATGGTGAGCTTGGTATCAACGAGGAAAATGTTTTCTTGTACATTGGTTCAAATCCTACCAATGAAAACTCTACTTTCATTGAGGATAATTCTCTTCCGTTTTCACCAAGTGTTGTGAACCAGCGTGATGCAGACCTTGTTTATTACTGGCATAAGGTAAGTTAGTACATTGAACTTGCATATGATATGGGTGCCTTTTCTTATAGACCATTGAGATCAGTCGGCTTGTTTCACTACATGAAGCTTGCACTCATTTAGATGACATTTCTCTCCTTTTTTTTGTAACAGTTCCGTAATTCACCTGAAGGATCATCCAAAAAACTCAATGCACAGAAAGAACTGCTTGATATAATGACTCATCGTATGCATGTTGATAAAAGTATAAATCTCATAGGGAAGCTTCTCTTTGGATCAAAGAAAGGCATAGAAGTCCTTACTGCAGTTCGACAGACAGGGCAGCCACTAGTCGACAATTGGGCATGCTTAAAATCAATGGTAAGTTTCTTTAACTTCTATTCAAATTTCACTATCTCAAGATTAAGTGGGATATAAATAAATCAGTCTCAACCTTCATCAAATACATTCAAAATTCTTAGATTTATTTAAGTATGATTTGCATTTCCTTCTCCAGGTTCGGACTTTTGAAACACACTGTGGATCTCTATCTCAGTATGGCATGAAGCACATGCGCTCTATTGCTAACATTTGCAATGCTGGCATCAGCAAGGAAATAATGGCTAAGGTTTCTGCAGAAGTTTGCAGCCAGATTCCATCCACCCCATGGAGTTCTCTTCATAGAGGCTTTAGTGCCTGAAATGGGTTATACCAAGGAAGGAAAGCACAATCCATTGAATAACAAATGTTATGCTAGCTTGTGGCTATCTTATACAGTGTTGTAAATAGAATGTAGTCAGCTGTGGACTGATGTGCACTGATGGCTGTTATTGTAATAGATCTTAAAGGTAAATGCCCAAATTATTGAAATGATTGTGTAAATGTTATTATATATCATTATGAGGGCATTGTAGTAAACTTGTTGGGTCCATATTTGTGCTTTTGAATTATATATATTTCTATTATTCGTGAAGTATTTATCTATGTTAAACTCAATGGGTTGATCTGAACTGTTGAAGGATGAATGAATGGTTGGGATGAATCAATTTCCTAATGAACCATTGCCATTCTAAAAGTGAAATGTCTCACGCTAAATCTCAAGCAAAGACATCTTCTTGTAACTATGCAAGAACTGATTTTTCTTATTATGATAATTTTGTTCATTTTTCTATTTCATTTATATAACTTTATATTAATTTGATTCATTCTCTTGATCGTTTTTTAACAAATTGACACCTCTGATGTTGGACTTGTGGACTTCAAATTATAATTCTTTGTTGATTAATGCGAAAATAATAAAAATGTTGATTTTCTCCACAAAATTCATTCATCTCTATATTGAAGAATTCATTTTGAGATTATTAAAAATATTACATTTATTTAATGAAATAAAGCCAACAATTTTACTGATATCAATAACATTATTACAATAAAAATATAGAACATTACAGCTATAAATTCAAATTTTTGTCGCAATATGAGAAAGAGAATTACATTAAAAATCCCTGCATGTAAGTAGAACATTTGATTTTTTTTAATGCATTGAAATATTCTAGAAAGTGTTCTTATATAAAGTAATGTAAGTGATATTGTAACGCTCGAAGTAACGGATGATTTAAGGTTTATTTGGAACAACTATAATATTTTTAAATATGAATGTCATTTATCAGTAGTATTTAAAAAAAAAAAACTGGTGTAAAAGAAACTTCCTAATATAATTTTCTTTTTTCAAAAGTAGTGAAAAAACAGTAAACAAGCAAGATTGTAGTTGCAGTCTCAAAAACAAATGCAATAAGAAAGTTATCTAAAAAAGATTCTTAGGCTTCGTTTGGGACGGCTTTCTTACCGTTTCTTAAAACAGCTTTATAGTACAAAATTTTTAATTTTTATACTAAAAAGCTGCTTTAAGAAGCAGCAAAAAAGCCATCCCAAACAAAGCCTTAGACTTCATTTGGGATAATTTTCTTACTATTTCTTGAAGCATCTTTTTGTACTAAAAAGCTGCTTTAATATGAAGACAAAAAAGAAAACTGTTTAATATGCCACTTAATATCATCGGAGAAAACAAAGTGAGCTTTCGTACACAAATCGGGCTCCAATTCTTTCACAGAAGATGATAGAAGCTTAATCGGAAGTTTTCTATTGTTATTTATTTATTAAATTTTTAATGGATTTGACAAACTATAAGACGAACCGGGAATTGAAACCATTACGAGTAGGCTGTTGGTTTCCTCAATATTAAGATAAACAAATTCCTTGTCCTTTTATCTATATACTACTATTAAAATGTCGCTTTTGAATCTCCCGATACATCATTGTGATCGTTGGTTAAAAAATCTTAACTTAATCCATTGTTAATATTCCTATACCTTCTTCGTCATAACAATGAGTCTTTATCTGCTCGCGAAATGGCGGATTCCTTATTTCTTCTTCCTATCAACGCATCCCTGCACGGAATGACGCATTTCCTTTGTATAAAATTTCTTGTGCTTGCAAGGAGATGTCTAGTCACGCAAATGTTTTGCTCGTTGGATAGCAAACATCCCAAGGTGAGTTTCTCTTAACCTTCTTCCTAGTTTTTTTTACTTGCCTCGACCGCTCACCGACGCCCCCTTACTCCACGATTCCTTCTCTTAAAAAATGAAAGTTTTTTCTTCCATTTTAAGGCCTAAATTCTGCTTCAAAGTTTTCTAGGTTTTCCAATTTAGTAATCTCTGTTGCTTTTATATGTCCGCATTATCTTGTTTCTTCTTCGACATTGTTGTTTTGTCCCTGGATGATCACTACTGAGTGCCAAGTCGATCGGCTTCGCCGGACACAACAAACTTCTCTTTGGCATTTACTTTTTCATTATCGACCTCTCTTCTTCACGACCTGCTCCACATGAATAAGTACCAAGCCCTGTTTCCCTCATCAGGCTTTTCCCTGCTCAAATATTAACACCTTCCTCCCTTCAGCAGCTAGAATAAATTCTTGGGCTATCCCTTCACAAGAGCCATCAGCTTCAACTTGCGTTATCAGTTCATCCTTCAAACGCAAGCTTATCGAAAATTCATCCACGTCTCTAGGCCCGACCAACCTGCTGCATTCTTACCTATTAAAATAAAAATTTCGTCCTATTAAAATAAAATTTTTTTACTCCATAACAAATGTTAACTTAACAAATACTATTTGTCAATCTCATATTCTAGAGACAAACAACTTAAAGTGTTTGGGAATTGCTTTTCCTCTACTTCATCTCTTATTGTGATATTTCCTTTTTGCATTTGACTGAAACATAAGAATAAAGGAAATGTACGGTAGTTTTTCACTATTATATTGCTCTCACTGCGCGCAACTTCTCATCCATCTTTTTTTCGCAGAACTCACAACCCATCAGTTTGCTTGAACACTCCATCGCATTTCATGTAAATTCACTAAACCATTATCGATTATCTCAAATGCAAGATCTTTTATAATTAATTATTTTATTTTCATTAAAATATATGTAAATGTTTTTTCTTTATTTTATTTGTATTTGTTTTGCGTTATTGGTGTTCGATGTTCTTGGTTTTTTTTTTGCTTTTGGTCTTTTTTTTTTTTGAATTAGCTATTGGCGTTCGATGTTGAGGTCTTCTTTTTGTTCGATATAACTCCCCAAAGATTTCTTATTTTATAATGTACCTTAAACGATTCATTATCTTAATCTTTTTTTAAACAAATTGACCCCTCTGATGGTCGATATGTATACTTTAAATTATAATTCTTTTGGTTAATGCGAAAATAATAGAAATGTTGATTTTCTCCGCAAAATCAATTCATCCCTATAAATTGAAGAATTCATTTTAAGAATATTAAAAATATTACATTTTGAAATGAAATGAAACCAACACTTTTACTGATATCTATAAAATTATTACAATAAAAATATAAAACATTACATTTATAAAATCAATTTTTTGTCAGTATATGAGAAGGAGAATTGCATAAAAATCGAGGCAGGTAAGTAGAACTTTATATTTTTTTTATGCATTGAAATATTGAAGAAAAGTATACTTATATAAAGTACTGTAAGTGATATTATAATGCTCGTTGGAACAACTATAATATTTTTAAATATGAATGTCATTTATTAGTAATAATTTTTCTAAAAACTATTGTAAAAACAGCTTCCTAATATAATTTTTTTTTTTTCAAAAATAGTGAAAAAACAATAAGCAAGCAAGATTGTAGTCGCAGTCTAAAAAATAAATGCAATAAGAAAGTTATCCAAAAAAAGATTTTTAGGCTTCATTTGGGACGATTTCTTTATTGTTTCTTAAAGCAATTTTTTGTACTAAAAAACTGCTTTAATAAGCAATAAGAAAGTCGTTCAATTCCAAACAAAGCCCTAATCTCATATGTTAAAGCTTATCATATTATATTATTGATAATCTTTCAAATTCCATAGAAACTAATTCCACGCTTATAAATATTGCAAAAATAAATAAGAGGCTAATCCCAGAGATGAAAACAAATTAGAAAAAGTTTTTTTTTTATCAAAACAGGTTCTTATTCTTTTCATTTCCTCTCTTCAAATTATTATTTCAAACCAAACAGGGTCGGTCATATGAAGACAAAAAAAAAACTGTTTAATATGGCACTTAATATCGTCGGATAAAACAAAGTGAGCTTTTGTACACAAATCAGGCTCCAATTCTTTCACATAGATGATAGAAGCTTAATTGAAGTTTTCTATTGTTATTTATTTATTAATTTTTTTAATGGATTGGACAAAGTATAAGACTAGCACTCCTTTGGACCGAGAATTGAAGCCATTACGAGCAGGATGTTGGTTTCCTGATTTCCTCAATATTAAGGTAAACAAATTTCCTTGTCCTTTTTTCTATACTATCTATCTATATCTATACTACTATTAAAGTGTCACTTATGAATCTCCCGATACATCATCGTGATCGTTGGTTAAAAAATCTTAACTTAATATCCATCTTTAATATTCCTATACCTTCTTCTTCATAACGATGAGTCTTTGTCTGCTCGCAAAATGCCAGATTCCTTATTTCTTCTTCCTATCAACGCATCCCTGCACGGAATGGCGCATTCCCTTTGTATAAAGTTTCATGTGCTTGCAAGGAGATGTCTATTCACGCAAATGTTTTGCTCGCTGGATAGCAAACATCCCAAGGTGAATTTCTCTTAACATTCTTCCCAATTTTTTTTACTTGCCTCGACCACTCACCGACGCCCCCTTACTCCACGATTCCTTCTCTTAAAAAATGAATGTTTTTTCTTCTATTTTAAGGCCTAAATTCCTGCTTCAAAGTTTTCTAGGTTTTCCAATTTAGTAATCTCTGTTGCATTTCTATGTCCGCATTATCTTGTTTTGCATACCTGACTTTCTTTGGCATTGTCGTTTTGTCCCTGGAGGACCACTACCGAGTGCCAAGTTGATCGGCTTTGGCGGATACAACAAACTTCTCTTTCGCTTCAACTTGCACTACCAGTTCATCCTTCAAACGCAAGCTTATCGAAAATTCGTCCGCGTCTCTAGGCCCGACTAACCTACTACAATCTTACCTATTAAAATAAAATTTTCTTACTCCATAACAAATGTTAACTTAACAAATAGTATTTGTCAATCTTATATTCTGGAGACAAACAACTTAATATGTTTGGGAATTGCTTTTCCTCTACTTCATCTCTTATTGTGATATTCTTGTTTGCATTTGATTGAAACATAAGAAGAAAGGAAATGTATAGCAGTTTTTCACCGTTATATTACTCTCACTATGCGCAACTTCTCATCCATCTTTCTTTCGCAGAACCCATCAACCCATCAATTCGCTTGAACACTCCATCGCATTTCACGTAAATTCGCTAAACCATTATGGATTATCTCAAATGCAAGATCTTTTATAATTAATTTATTTATTTTCATTAAAATATTTGTAAATGTTATTTTATTTTATTTTATTTGTATTTGTTGTGTTATTGGTGTTCGATGTTATTGGTTTTTTTTTGCTTTTGGTCTTTTATTTATTTATTTATTTTTTTTTTTGAATTAGCTATTGGAGTTCGATGTTGAGGTCTTCTTTGTGTTTGATATATTACTCCCCAAAAATTTCTTATTTTATAATGTACCTTAAAATAAATCATTTCGAAGCGGATTCAGAATCAAATTGGTTTTGGTTCCGGGTTTGGGGTTAATCCTATAAGAAATTTTGTTATACATACAGTTTTAGATTTTTATAGATTTATCTATAGGTGGTTTGATTAGAACCGAGCACAGGCTCGATGGTGGCCATCATAATGGTAAGCGGAGGAAAGTGGAGTTTGGGATTCAAGTTTTGTTGAAATTATGGTTTGAATGATGAGTTGGGATTATTTGAATCTAACTTCTGGTTTCTGGCTGCTTTGTTTCTTCAATCTACTCCATTTCAAGTTGCCAAACATTGAAGTTGAAAACAGGAATACTTGCTTCATAATTGTAGTTTTCTTGTTGGATCATATATGTCCATTTAAATTTCTGTTTAGGTATGCTTACAATGTTCTTTAACTATGTTGTTTTTTTTCTTCCTTTTTTTTGCAAATGACTTAAGAAGTAAAGTAGTCAATCAAATCATATACTACTCACAGGCTTTTCATGTATTCCTATATGTGACCAACCTGTCATTTTTAACAGCTCCTCCATTGTCCCATATCCACCTAAAGTTTAAAAATGAAATACTTTAAATTAATTTAAAAAAAAATAACGAGTTTCCATTTTTCCTCATCGGGAAGGGCAATGAAAGCATCATCATGTTTAGCCATTTCTGACTTCCTCTCATGCATGTCTGCAACTGTCTTAACTCTTAACTACTCCAATAGTTTCTCCTAAAATCTACAAAAAAAATTTTTTTTTTTTTTTTTCTGTAACTCTTTGTGTAAGAAGAAGCTTTTTTAAAATCGTGATAGCTCTTTACCACGTGAGGTAGTAAGGCTCTTGGTATAATTCTTTATACAAATAAATGAAAATATTGGTTAGTTTGATGAAACATGAAATAAATAGAATAAAAAAGATAAGACATGGTGAAAGTTAACACCCTAAGACATGACAGCCACCATCAACGATAGTTTGAGAAATCAAACCCATGAGACCTATACTCCCACCACCATAAATCATATTTATCTTCCTATCAACCTGAAGACAGAATGACATTTTATTAATAAATATAAAATGCACATATCGTAAAAGCAATGAAGCTAAATTTGTTAAGTTTTTTTTATTTATTTATTTCTGACCAGTTGTTTGCCAAGCTCAAGAGCTGCAACACTGAAATAAGTCCTTTTTCCCTGCTCTACAACCACAGAAAACACATATCCTTCTAAACCTTCTGATTTCTTATCACTGATTTCTTCAAATTCGGTTCCGCTGCTTTCTCCAATTTTCAGACGTTTCTTCTCCATGATTCTTCATCACTATTCGGCTTAATCATATCAGAAATGTGGGTGATCAACTCCCGATCATGAGCTTAAGCATTTGAGTTGAATATTTATTTTTTAGTTAAAATACCTATTTTAACTAAATTGAAAATTCATATTTTTTGTGACTCTTATAAGTCTATGATAATTTATTGCATACTTAGTGTTGCGACTCCCATAACATTATCCTGCAGTTAAGAGAGACACATGAAAATATAATCTCACATAGATTAATTAAAAATATATTAAGGTGAAATAATAAGTGACTGACCACACCAATAGACTGAATTTTGTTCTCTTCCATTCATATACTTCCCTAAATATATGTTAGGAAAACAAGCAAAAACCTTTGCTTTAGTGCATATCCAATCAGTGCTTCTGTGCTGATTTTTTATCCATTATAATATGTTCTGATATGTTCCTCATCCTGTACCACTATATGACACAACTCAATCTTTTATTCTTGCCAACCTTTTGTTGGAGCCCATTGCAGACTTTATCTGTACATATACCCTATATGCTTTTCAGACCTCTCAGCCAAAGATTTGATGTCTTTCCTATTGGGACCTCCCCAAATTTACTGCCATCTGATTCTATATTGTTGTTTTTGGATAGCTGATTTATCTTTTTTTTTTCTTCTCATTTTTGATTATTTCTTCTAGCGGGATAATAATGGTAAGTCTGATTATTTCTGACTTAATCTTCTAAATATTGACTACGATTTTTCTTTTTTTGACCACCCGAGCTCTTAATAGTTTTCTTTTTTTGTTTTTTTGAACTCATATACTTCTACAGTTTCATCTCTCAAGTTGCTTCTTTTGGTTGTGCAGCAGCCCTTCTCTCTATTTGAAGCTTTTTTCATTTGACCCTCTTATGTCTTGTTACGTGGGTTTCTTGGTTTCGATTAGTTTGTCTCTTAGTCTCTGGTCTTATTTACTACTGATACTAACATTATATCTTGCTTAGGACATGGCTCACTAAGAAATTAATATTTTGTCTTCTTCTTACTTGTAATACCAAATCATATGACATTGTATTTTTCAATATAATCATTAGCAAATTCTTTCAATTATTTAGATCTTGGTAACTTCTTCTATAAGGCTATTGATTTAAGTGCATTAAAAGGGACGATATTGAAGTTTTTTTATTTGGGTTCTTTGTCAACATCTCATCAATCAGATGATAAATTCAATAATGTTTAATCCGTTCAACAACCACTATTAAACCAACCTAATCCTTTAAACAACTCTAATCATCCCATTTAACATTTTATGTTTACAGAACAAATTTATTGCACCTGATAATTATCACTATTACCTTTTGTATCTTTGCCTCCTTCCACGTTGTCATAGTTATCACCATCAATAGCATAAATGAGTCTAATAATTGTAAATTCCCCTTCATAATGAAAAGAAAGCAAAATAATTAGGCCATTAAACAAAAAATTGTTTTCAAACTAAATATAATACATGATTCCTGAAACATAATATAATAGCTATCATGTTTCATACCTTCAATGATAGGCTATAATAGGTATCTGTCAAAAGCAATTTTTGAGATAAGTCAATTGGTGGTTTGCATTTGGTGGTTCTTGTTTGAACTATCCTCAAGTTACCATTTTATCAAGTTATATTAATACTTCGAATTATTCACATGGTAGATAAGATGTTATGGACCATGCCTCATGATACAGAATATATCATAACAATTTAAATGAAATTAAAGAAATTAACTATTATGATATGACTCTTAATTATTTATGATCATTAGGGTTCTCTGCATCAAAAAAATGCATGAGAGTTGAGAAGGTGCAAAAATTCTGATAATCTTTAACGTCAAAACTGCAAACAAACCTATAGAAAACTTCATTAATACCACAACAGTGGGCGATTTTGTATTATCTATTCAACAAGATAATAAGATACATGTGATCTACTATAAGAGAGGTAGATCGGCTCTCCCTTAAACCACAATGTTCATGTTGTTATTCCTAAGAATCACATGGTAGAAAAGATTTAATTTATGCTCAACCAAACAAGTATGCAAATAAATTAAAAATCATCATAGTTCAATTCATTTATTACTCTCATTTTCTTTTATGTTCCTCTTTCAATTCCTTCAAACCAAACATAACCGAATTGGAAATGATAAATAAGCTCAATTTAATTTAGCCTTAAAGTAATGATCGGGCAGTTACCTGTTTTTGAACGAACAGTCGCTTCGTTTTAGCGATATTCGTGGTAAGGTGGGGCCAGCTTCGAAGGCAAGTGTTTTTGTTCTCTTTTTTTTTTTTTTTTTTTTTTTTCTCTTTTTTTTTTTTTTTTTTGTTATGTTCCTCCCTTTTTTTTATAGTCAACAGACAGATTGTCATTATCATACCTACAGCTAGAGGATCTACGTATGAATGTCTTGAGGGGCGAAACAGATCAAGTGAGTACATTCACTAGTACCACACCACATACATCCACTAGGTTTGCAGCACAACAAGTAAATAAAGGTATCTCACAATTTCTTATGTGCTATTACATTATATATTTATATATATGCAATTAACAGGACACTAATCATTCTTATTGAACAGGGAAGAGAAAAGTGAGTAACATTGAAGATGATGAAGATTTGACATTCATAGATACAATTGGAGATGAAGATGCCTCCCTTGAAGACTCATTTAGTGATAGGACATAATTGATTTTAGATGTTTTTTTAATTATAGTTTGAGAGTTTTGATAGACTTATATTTGTAGTTTTGTACTTTCATTATAATATATTGCATCTATTTTATTCTTTTTCATTAATTTCACTTCTCATTTAGATGTTTTTATTGTATTATAGACCTAACTGTTAATTACCTGCTATAATACTTAAATTCTCATTTATGCAATTCTTCGTCCGTGAGGCTTTTCACGGACGAAAAACGCCTCGAAGCTTATTTACACAATTTTAAATCTTGTCATCAGCAAAAAGCATACACCAAGGTACATCCTATTGCAAATTTCTAGTGAGAACATCCATGACTAAAGCAAAAAAAATAAGGGCTTAAGGCTGATCCTTGATGTAATCCAATTGAAATAGGAAAATACTTGGTCAAACCACCTTGTATTTGAACACATGTAACAGCTCCTACGTGCATATCCCTAATAACTTGAATATAAGCATTATTAACCCCTATCTTTTCAAACTAGAGGAATCTGTATAAAATTATAATTGAAGTTAAAAGGAAATCCTAATATAATAAACTTCTAAGAAAACTACTCTTTATATATATAAAAAAAAAAACCCAAATTCTCTTCGGACATAGAGGTCTCAAGAGCAACAACGAAGTTTAATCAGAAATATTAATTTTCTTAATTCGTCCTCCTTTTGACTTCTATATTACCAGGAAAACTCTTCAATAAAGATGTATCGCTTTTAAAAGTCTGTCAAATTTTTTTATCATTTAAAATATAATACCTACAAAGCCAGAGTGTGATATAAATTGACGATAATAGGTCATCAAGTGTACAAACTACGTTTAAGAAGTGATGCAGAAGGCATGCAACTATGAGCAAGATTCTCAATGCAAGTCATTCTGCTAAAGCACCAATCTTTAATACTTAAAATATTGAAAAAATGAATCCCATAAATCATTAAAAATTAGACATTAATAAACTCAATCAAAATGTAATATTCTCAAATAAACATTATGCTAGCTTGGAGGTTGTCTGTAGAAAACAAACCTGGGAAATCCTATTAGCGCGACACAACCATGGCCGAATTTCGTGACTTCAAAACCTTCTCCGGTTCCACTTGAACCCTGAATTAAAACAAAACAAAAAGCAATCCTAATAATAAAATTAAGAGCAAAGGACCATATAATACATTTGTCACATGCAATCAAAGTTGGATGAAAGAGAAATGTCAGACTTCAATCAAAGTTGGATGAAAGAGAAATGCACACAACCTTCAAGATTGAAATAACTTTTTACACGAAAAAGAGGAGAAAACCTAGTACATTATGTTTGCATTGTGAGTCCAGTATGAAAGTCAATCAAAGTGTAGATGTAATTTGAAGGAGAAAGCTGCTAAGCTACAATATATGGTAGGTCACATGTTTCAAAAAGTAAAGAAGATTGATAGAAAATACCGTGTACCTTAGGAGGCTCCAATAATTGAGTTCTTAGTTTCGCTATCTTCGCCTTCAGTTGTCCAAGATGATACTCTATTCAATAAAACATCCAATCCGTTTATTTAATCTCAGCTCACTCATTTTCAAGATATAATGACCCAGTATGAAATATATAGACAATATTTAGACAATAGCCACAAGAAATGATGATATCAAATCAGCTTCATATTAAACAAAATCAAATAGAACAGATGAACAGGAAAGTTCCTAGACTGGTGCATGTAGACGAACAACAAAATCCCTGCTCTCCAAAATCCACGGTCATTAGACAATCTATACACCCTTTCAATTTCAGTAGTAGATATCAATCATACCCAACTTGGAGTTCAAACTTTCATAATAAATGTAGCTTATGGTCTTAGTGAAAATATCAGCTTAGGGAAAGAATCAATCAATAGCATGCTTGGTTTCCCAAAGATGATTTTTATTGGACTTCTTCTTCTGAATTTCAAAATTGTTATAGAAGGGCTAGTTTTTGAAGAATCCCACATCCATGTTCATGTAGAATCGTTTTGCACATAGTGAGGAATGAAAGACATGATCTGGGTATGAGGAAAGGTTTTGAGGAGAGTTTAACAAGGATTTGGAAAGTTTAGCATCTATCAGGGCATTCGATTAATGAGAAATGTTGTAGTTAACATGACTTCCCATCAAAAATATTTTGGAATGTGTGAAGCAAATATGATTGATCGAGGCACTTCAATCCAACGTCAAAAAGGTGAAATAAAAAATCTACACATTTTTCCTAAGCGAAACAAAGCATAAACCTTGAGGCAGATCAAGGCATAAGCCTAGAAATATAAAATAAAAAACTCATGAACTTACAAATAATTCATAAAAATGACAAAAATAAAATAAATCATTAATTTATTTACTTGATTTATCATCATGAAGATATAAACTATAAATTTCAATTTTAAATATTATTATAAAATGAAAGTTTAAAATACTATTTACGATAAACACTTACTTAAAACTTAAATACACCATGAGGATCATGATCCACAGTGACCTCATCCTCGCTTTCATATTATTAATAATATACTTCATATGTAATAATTACATCATTATTGGATTTTGTTGCATTGTCATCTTCAAAATCTTCTTCAATTACAACATTTTTTTGCTCTCTATATCAGTTAACATGGGATTCAATGTAACATAAAATAAATCAACAAATTAATAACATAATAAAGTAACACATTATATTTAAATCACCATTTGATTTTTTTGAAGCTCCAACCCTACTTTGCTACTTTCTTTAAAATTATTGTTAAGTAGAAGCTATCATCAATTCAATAGTAATTTTAATATTAGCATTGATATCTTCAGTCTCCTCATTATTAAAGGTGTTTCTCTATCTTTAATTTTATATCTTTCACTATTTTTTAGTATTATCCATTTAGCATCAAACAATATGTCATCAATAACCAAAAGATTGATTTCATCATCACTAGTTATTTGCCTCAATTTGAGCTCCCTATTTTTCAATTTTTATTAAACATAACACAAACATCAACCAATTTGTTCATTCGTCCTATAACAAATCGATTCATTTTCTTTGTATAATAGAATAAAATATATATTATTATTAATAACATATAAAAGAACAATTTATAAATTTAACCTAAATGAGGTGCTACCTCAAAACACCTCCAGGCGTTAAGCCTCAAGGCATACACTTCATTTAAAAAAGTCATAAGCCTCATTGGAGCCAATGAAGCTTAAGCCTCGAGGTGCTCATTATGCGCCTCAATTTTTTAAATCAAGCTTCAATCAAATATATGTTTTTTTTTTCTTTTGACAACTCCATTTTGTTGTAGAGTGTTGATGTGTGTGCCCTAAACCCTAGGGTAGAATGATAAAACTTATGCCCATTTTTAGCTTAGAGTATTTACATTTTAATTTTGAACCAAGTTTGCAACTTTGCATCCTCTTAATTAAATTTTGAAATATAGTAATAATTTCATACTTATCTTTCATAAGGAACAACCGCTTGAATCAAGAATGACTATAAACAAATGTGATGAACCAATAGGAGTCAATGATATTATTGACCATAAATGGCTCCCAAACATTGGTATGGATCAAGAAAAATGATGGGTTGATTTGTAAGGATGAATAGGGAGGAAAAGAGTTGTGAGAGTATTTGAATAACTAACAAATCTCACATTAACAACATCTAAAAATTTATTTTGAGGAAGATAGGAAACAATTTTTAAGATATAAGATATTTGAATGACCTAGCCAACAATGTCATACCATGACGGCATTCTCATTATTCAAGCTGAATTATAAAACTACACAACTTTTTCCATGATTGCTACTCAGGATCATCTTTACTAGGGAGGTAGAGACAAGCAACCAACTTCACACAGCCAATCTTTTCCCCAGAATCCAAGACCACAAATTTTTATATGCTTGAAAGGAAGTTGGTAAAACAATTAAGAACATTCGCAATTTTACTAATGGAAAGAATTTTACAGTTAAATTTTGGAACATTTAGCACAAATTCAAAGACAATGTCAATTAAAAGTATGATAGATCCAATGCAAACAATGGTCCATCTATAATTTAAAAAGAAAAAAAAAATGGTCCATCTATAATTTGAACAGTGAGGTATCCACACTATGGTTTATACATGTGAAAAATAAAAAATCATAGCATCACCAATCATGTGATTAGAAGCACGTGAATCGACAATTAAGGATCTTGCTTTTTCAAATTTAGCCTTGAGAGCACTTAGAGGGTTACCCTTGTTCAACAATAGAAGCTAAGCTCGCAATAGATCTAGTGGTTTAAAGAGTGTTGAAAGTTTGGTGGTTGTTGAAGTAATTAAGGTAGAAATTCAATTTGCAAGTTTTAGAAAGGACTTGGGTCAAATGACATTAGAGTCTCAATAGTGGGAACATTCTGATGCGTCCCGCCTCCGATCAGCCGAGGGGGGATCGGCGACCAACGGGCGAGCGGAGGCCGCGGGCGAGAGCGTCGCGCGGGTCGACCTGCCGCGAGGAAGCGGGAGGCGAGGCGGAGCGGCTGGGGGGGGTCGGCCTTGGGCTGAACCGGTCCAATCCTGGACCGGTTTGGCTCGGGTCAAGCCTGAGCTGGGCGGTTCATTTTGGGCAGCCCACTAGTGGGTTTTGTTGGTCTTTTGGCTAAGAGAAGTGTTATGGAGAGTTCTAGAAAAGAAACGAGTTAAAAATGCTCATATTCAAATCATTAAGGATACAGGAGCTCTTATTGGTGTTCAAACACAAGGTGGTTTGACCAAATATTTTCCTATTTTAGTTGGATTACATCAAAGATCAGCTTTAAGTCCATATCGTTTTGTTTAGTCATGGATGTTCTTACTAAACATTTGCAGGAGAATGTACCTTAGCGTATGCTTTTTGCCGATGATATTCTTTTTGTTAATAAAACTAGGAAAGGAGTTGATGAAAAACTTGAATTATGTAGGTCAACCTTAGAGTCTGAGGATTTTTTATTTGAGTAGATCCAAAACTGAATACATGGAGTGTAATTTTAGTAATAATAGATCTAGTGATCAGATTGTAACATTGGGAAATACAATAAGTTAACAAGAGTGCACCTTTAGATATCTCGAGTCTATTGTTCAAAATGATGGTGAAATAAATTGGGATATTATTAGTAGAATTCAAGTTGGATGGTTGAATTGGGGGAATGCATCGGGCTTGTTGTGTGATAAAAAACTTAACGGAAAATTTGGAAAAATGATGGTGAGACCTACTCCAAATTTATAAAATGTTGATTTTTTTTTTTTTGTAATTTATAAAATGTTGATCATTAAGAGAGAAGCATAAAATTAAATTAAGTGTTGTAGAGATGAAGATGCTCAGGCAAATAAGTGGCTTTACACTTAGAGATAAATTGTGAAATGAGTATATACGTGAAAAGATAGGAGTAGCTCCAATGGCAGATAAAATTAGAGAGAATTGTTTTAGATGATTTGGACACATAAAACGTCAGCCTTCTGATGACTCTCTTATAAGAGTAGATGTATTAGATCCGACCTAGCTAAGAAAGGTAGAGAAAGACCTAAAAAGACATGATTAGAAAGTATTAAAAATAACTTTTTTTTTATTTATCTTTGAATAAGAAGTTGACTCTTAATAGGATACAGTAGAGAAAAAGGATTCATATAGCCATCCCCATGTAGATAAATACTTGTTATCATTCTCGTTGCATCTACTTGAATTGTTAATTATCTTATAGGCACCACCACTCCATTTCATCAAAAATGTCATATTATTATAAATAATGAGTAAACAATTGAAATATATTGTGATAGAGTTGTCGCTTTGTTGTAGGTTATAAAGAACGTTTTTTATCTCAAATATGGTTGAGGTGTTGTCAACATTGAACATTTGGAGTAGGTCTCTTTGGATAAATCTCAAATTTCTTTGGCGACTTTGCACTACATAAAATTTTCTCCAATTTCATGTCATGAAATTTAGTAACTATAACAGCAACACATTATTTTCCACCTTCCATGTTTGAAACTTGTGCCTACTTCATTTTGTGTGTGAGTCACTTACAAGGACAACTAGCATCATTGATTAAGAGCATTGGATGAAATATTGCCCATTAAAGCATGTGTTTGAAAATGGTAAGGACAGATATTTCTAATGAGGTGGTATTATTGATTATGTAGATGGGCTAGGAATGGAAGTCAACTCAGAGCAAGTGCTTACTCTACTACCAACTACAAGAAGGGGCAGACGGCATGAACAGCTCTATTGGGTGCAAAAACAAGCACGAAAATATTAGAAAAAATATGACAGAGCTAAGGGAATTGCTCGGATGCAATATATAAATATGTGGAAAGCTTTAATGATTCAATTATTCAAGGATTCTAGAGTACAGGCTAGATATAAATAAAAGAGTTAATCCACATTTTCCTCATGGACAGTAAAAATATTTTCCTAAACAGAAATAACTAAGACGGAAAAGCAATAAAACATAATCTAAATATTTGAATTCAGATCTTTATAACATTTCTACATAGAGGGGGAGGAAGAAATAATGTCATGGATTAATTAGGTGGATGAAACAATCTTGGAAACTTCTTACAGTACGATCTGTGGACATCAACAACAACCAATAATATAAAAATTATGCAAATCTTAAAACTATAATAACACTAGCTATGTTGAACGTTCCTTCGATTGTAGTGATATATTGAGCTTGTAATCTTTTATTCGATGAGTCACTTTTCATGCTAATTTATACACTGTCCAATACAAATTACATTGGTATTAAATATATCGTTTTCGTTGAATCACTGCATTCTAGTATAGTAATCAGTTTGAGAGGAACCTACCTTGAGTTCTACTAGCAAATCAATCGTTTGTGAGGGCTAGAGTCTTCGTATTCGGTGCACAATATGAATTTATATATGTGTCAGAGTGATTAAGTGCTAACAAATATTCAAGTTCTGGGATTAATAGAAGGTTGCAAAACCTTAACTTAATTGGGAAAAGGCTAATAATGGCAGTGATGATAATGTAAATGCAGTTGCCATATCTCTTTAGATAGCATGGCGAAGTATATCGACAATCAGCTTAAAAAGTACATAAATAAGAATACAGTCGAACCTGTAGCTTTATTTTTTTGCGTTCGAGCCATTTCGTCTTCAATTTCCTTGATTTTCTCAATGATACCCATCTTTCTTCGTATGAAACAGCTGACCTCAAATCCTGAGATATTAAGTTATCACGGATTGGTGATAGTAAGATCCATAAAATTGAAACCGGCGTGAAGAAGCCACAAGATTTGTGTGGACGCAAACCAAAAAAAAAACCTTATATAGATAAAGAAGCGTCAAAGGAGGTGTCAGCCGTCAAGATCCAAATCCAGTGTGACGCCGCTGCCACCGGTTTCCGATCTCCCTTTCTCTCTCGCTCACCGTCTTGCCCTCACTCTCCAGCTCTCTTTACATTTCCAGCCCGCGGCGAGCCCTGTGTGTTCGCCACCACTGCAGTGCGAGCGAGAACTATTGGCGGGGACGTCAATACGGGTTAACCGGTAGGGTTCGTGTTTGACCCGAAATTGGGGCCATCTGATTACAACCAATCGAAACTTTAGACATTTGTTATGTGAAAATTGGCTTCATATGTCCATGATTTGTGTAATTGCGTAAATATTTAAACTATTTGTTTATTTGTAAAAATAAGGTTGAAAATGTAACTCACCCATTTTTTTGCGGGTGCTTAATAAGTAGTTGGTGAATCATAGCAAGAAAACTCTCCCACAATGGGGTCCCATCTTGAGAACCCTTCTAATTGTCCAAGAAGAATTATTCACCTCCAGCTCGTAGAGAACTTTTCTAGAGTGATTAATAGGTGCCACTCATCTGAACCTACAAAGGAGCTTGCCATCTCTGAGGTATTTGGGGATTTCTCGCCAAGCTAATAACCTAACACCCACTGAGTAACTAAGTCACAACCTCAAGCACCGTTCTTCCTCAACATACCTCAAGTACTTGCTCTCGCATAGAGTGACAATACTCACCAAATTCAATTAAATGAAAAAAGCCTACTCTTGGAACCCTTAGCTTACCTAGTCACGGCCATCAAATTTGTAGTTCTCCATCCCCATGGCGACAACCCACTTTCCTTTATCCTCAAGGCAATTTAGGCTCTCTCACATAAGTCGCCAACCGTATCAGTAAGCAAGTACACTTAGCTTAGCACTAGCTCATGTACTCATCCAAGCATACTTGCCTGCTCAACATCACAGAGCATGCTTGAAGACAACTAGCTATAATTCTTCAAATCTTTCATCTAGATAACCAAGGGCATGTGTCATAAGAGTGTGCATCATTGTAAAGGTGTTTTTTATTTTATCTATATGTAGTCTTTTTTATATCTTCAATACTCTAAAAATAAAGGGTGTTGAGAAATAGTTTGAGACCTTATCCTGGACTCTTGTCTGATTTTTGTGGATAATATGCTACTTTGTTATCTATAGCTTTCTTGAGTATTCTATAGAACTTTCCAATGGTCTCCCAACTCTCTCTATTCTCATAGGTCAAACTTGTCCAGCTTACATGTTCGGCTTGCCAATAAGATCCAATATCCTCTTAGATGCAGTGAGTATGGATTGATGCCACATATGAGAAAACAAGCCCGAATTAGGGCTATAAACAATTTTAGTCGAGCTTGAGTCGCCCCTATATTGGGCTTGAGCATGATTAATTAATCGATGTTGAGCTGAAGCTTTATTCAACAAGTTTAAGCCTGCTCATTCATTATGAAAGAGAGAAAATTATTATTGTTGCGGGCTAGAATATATGCGGCGATAGAGTTATGATTCTACGTCTTAGCGTTGTACGGATATCCAGCTCACACACAAAGAACATAATATTTTTTACGTGGAAACCCCAGAAAGGGAAAAAACCACGGGGCCTAGCCCAGTTGAAGATAATTCCACTAAAATTTGAGGGAAATATAATGACTTGACTCGTCCTTGAAGACTACCAGATTACAGATATCAACTGAGAGTTTTACAAAAGTCCAACGTCACTTCACTGTCAGGTGGTAGTCTGGCGGCACTCCGGCGTCCCTTGGTGGTCCGGCGGTGGTGCGGCAAGACTACGGCGGTGGTGTTGCAGCACTACGGCGTCCCTTGGTGGTTCGGCGGTGGTGTGGCAGAACTACGGCGGTGGTGCAGCAGAACCCCGACGTTCCTTGGTGGTCCGGCGGTGGTCGAGGAGGAGCTAGGCGGCTA